CATTATTACCCTCATGGTACTTATAGTCAGAGTACAGTCAATATCACGAAAGCCAATTCACAGACTGTAGTCATTTGAGAAATGACAGTAGGACTTGCATATTTTAAAAACTAATGTAAGACCACATCTGAATCTTTGGAAGTTTGGCAAGAATTACAGTAGTGTAAGGAAATGAATGCCTATGGCGTAAATCTAAGTGATGGGCTATAGAAAACATCTTTCTGCACACAATGAAGCTGCACAGTTATCTCTTCCCATCCACCTCAACTTCTATCAAGTACTCTGCAGAATCAGTCCAGTTTCTCACTGCACATAAAGTGGTGGGTTTTGGTCGTGTCTTTTTGTTTGTTTTTTAACTTCAAATAAGTGTAGAATATTAAACACAATTAGAATATTCACAAATCTTCAGAGATGCTTTTCTTACTGAAATAATCCATGTCCTACCTCATTAAGTACATTTTTCTACTATTCCTTAATTAATAACTGCTAAATCAGTAGTCACAGAAAACAAGTTATTTTGTTTATCCACTAGGAAGTTAAGTAAAGCTCCTTGTTTTCTTGTACCACCTTTGCCTTAGTTCCAAAAGTAGAAATGGGTACTTTTAAAAAAAATTATACTTTGTCAATTAGTTGCTCCAGCGTTCAGAGCTGGTGTCCAAAGAGCCCAAGGATAGACAAGGTTGCTTGTCTTTCAACAAGCACCAGACCTCCATTTGTAGGTGTGCGCAGCATTGTGTTGTGGCACAAGTGGAGTGCAGTGACAGTTTACACTGAAATAAGAAAAGGTTGGTGTTCATGTCAAGTATACTTAGGAAAGAAATATCTTTTGTGAAGTAAGTGATTCCTATGTTTACATAGGTAATTATAATAGGCATGTGCAAACTGCTATTTCGATTAATATTAACTTGAACAAACAACTGCAGCAACTACTTTGCATAATATAATATTAATTCATAAATTCTAGAATAATTTCAAAAGCCTGAATTTTTAAATGTCTTTCTGTGATGGCAATATTGAAACTTTCTGACACCTTCCTTGAACTTTCTATTTAAAGCCAATCTTTTTTCCAGAGACAATAATTTAGCTGTTTAAAAACAGAAAATTATGAAAGAAATACTTAACCATTCTGACAGATTTAATTTACAAAATGTTACACTCTCCTAAAAAAGAAACATGGCTACTTACCCCATCAAGTTTTCTTTTTAAAGAGCTTGAATTTTCCACTTAAAGTATATACCTAACTTCAGTTTTGATAGTCTCCCTTTACATAAGGAAATGATTTCATAAACTAAAACAGTATTGAATAATATACTTTAAAAACCATTGATGCCGACACTCAGTTTTGGAAAACGAGGCTGGTAATTAAAAATGTATTCCTAGAAATCCCTGTTCTTCCTATATGCATAAACAAGAGAGAACTCCATGTACATGTGCGCACACGTGTGCTGACAGCAGGGTAATGAAGACAGTTAACATTAGAATCTAGGTTTTAAAAATCAAGCCATTTGTTTCCACATAAAAAATGCAAACCTATAGATAAGCTAGTTACATTCTCTGGGTGGCTGTTCACATTTAGCTACAACTTTGTGAATATTCTGCACCACATACTGCTCTTACACTCCTGACTCTGTTAAGAAAATCTTTTATGTGGCACACATGGGTCCACCCAGGTGACCATACAATAACTTAAAACACCATAATTGATCTTATTAATTGCATCTGCCACTTTATGTGATTCTTGTTTTTACTCAGCTTTCTTTCCAAACACTGTTCCAATTGTTAAATGTTCAGAACACACAAAGTGACAGATTTAGTGCTGCCTTGGCAATTTATGTAACTGACTGCAACTCTGTTGTTGCAATGAATCATGATTTATTTGTCTCGCAATGCAGCACATAACCTTTTAAATGCTAGGGAAAAAAATGCCAGTGCTTCTTTAAAGTTTATATATGACTGCCCACCACCATTCCTCATGAAAGGGTTTTTGAGAGACAAATGATAAAAACAAGCTGCAAATTCCACCCACCTACTCCCGGCCATTTCCTGCATTCATCACTCACATGTACTGTATTTACAGACAAGCACTCACACCCAGAGCGCCTGTGCACTCTTCTAGACCCCTCTTTTCCTCCTAAGCAAGAATATTTTTCTTAAATTTGTGATGAGTATTCTATGCTAAACACAAAGGAGGATAATACTGATGTCCCCAGCCCTTTTATTGATGCGTACTATGCTCAAGCATGTCAGGTGAAATTAAAAGCAGACTTCAGGGTTTTATTTACTGGTATCTCTCTCCATTGCAAAACTGTGATCCCAATGGCTGTCTGTGGCCTTTTCTCATACCCTGCTCTCCATAACGTTTTCTGCACTTATTTCCTTTACCTTTAAATACCAGTTTAATGTACTCCTCTCCTTCTCATTCTACTACACTGTTTTATTCTGGTGTTTATTTTGTGCCCATCTCGTCGGTAAATGAACATCTAATGGCTCACTGCTGTCCAATGGCTCACCATTGCCAAACTAAGCCAGGCAAAAGCCTTCAGCACCTTTAATTATGAAAGTGATAATGAAAGAGGAAAGACTGTTTATTTTGAATGGAACAGCAGTACCTGCAATTAACGCAAATAGGACTTGCTCATTGAAAGGCTATTAATCCAACATGCACAGCACAAACTATTTGGATAGTTCTCCTTACATTATAATTCAATTTTAAAAATTTACGAGGGAGAACTCAAAAAGCAGATAAAATTAGTTTTCCCTCAGATGGCGACTATGGAATTAGCAGTCCATCCACTGGCGTGTACAACTCGCATCATCACCTTTCATTGGCAGACTTTAACTGTCTGCAAAAGCTCTGCCCTGGTTTGCAGAAGGGACAACAGAGCTGCAGTGATGAAGTGACTTTTCTAATCATTCAGCAGATTCATGTTTGCCTGTGGCCTGCTCCCACCTCATCTGAAACAGGCTCACCAAAGCCCAGCCTAGTGCTCCAGTTACTAAAATCCATTCATTACAAGTTTGCCTTGATGTTTAACAAATAAGCAAGAACATTGCTTCACACAGTAAATATGCTTGTATGTTGCACAAGTCACAAATCCAGACTTCAGTGTAATGTTCTCTGGAGATATACCCCAAAATCTAGCTGGGCTATTTTAATTATTTGACATAATTCTAGTGCCACACATGGTACAGACTGCAGTAGAAATTACGTCAACTGATGACAAATGAGGATGTTGGGTAAGACCATAAAATGAAACATTGGCAAATTAATACACAGAGAGAAAAGTATACATTATAGAACAATATTTGAGTAATAAATAATTGGAGGTGACAAGGATTTAAGCTGTGTCAATGCACCTCATCCTGATCAGGTGGGCAAAATCATCATGTCCTTTTTCTACCAGATTATGCTGTTTTTCTATAATGCAAACAAATGTTAACTGAAAGGACAAATGCTTATCTCAGCCATCCTGAATTTGCAGGTTGGTGAAAAACAAACATCAATAATTTTGTTTCAAATATTTCCATTTGATTTGGATAAAATCTCTACAAGTGAATTTGATGTTATGATTGTAAGGCAGCAGCATGTTTAAAACATTTAATTAGCCACAGAAGGCGACAGACTCACTGCAGCATTTAACTTCCACTGTCTGGAAAAAAATGGGGCTATGATTTAGGAAGCTACACAAAAATACATTTACCGATACCATATGCTTCTGAAATGTTTCTGCTGTTGAAAGGGACAAAAAGCTAAAGAAATATACTTGTGTCAAGGAATAAACATCCGAAATTAAGGACGTGAGAGCAACTTCATCTACCAGTGAGAAAAAAAACAACAAAACAATAAAAAACATCAGCATCATATAATGTGCAGCATTAAGGCAAAAAATCCCATGGTGGGTAAACAAGTAAGAGTCAAACAAACATCTTCCCCCACCTCATTGAAAAAAAACTACTTTCCTCTATAAAAAAAAAAACATGCATTGCAGACTGTCACATTTATGCACACAGCTACCACACTCTCTAAAGGGTTGAATGAAGTTCTTACATCAACAAATAATTTTGTTTTTCATGCTAACTTCAGTCACCATCTTTCTGAGTTTTGGTAACTATTATTTGGAAAATACTAGCAGAAACAGAGAAGCTTCCCTATATACAGCCCACAATAACAAGAAAGATAGAATAAACCTTGCATAACAGATGTTTCAAGAACAGGTAATTGATAACAGCTACATTGTTCCCAACAAAATATTTTATGGCAATCTTTAAGAAAGATCTGAAACTGAATTCTGGCTTGGGACAACCAGTAACAACTTCTGCTGAACTTAATGCCCCTGACATAAAATGGAATACTGCAATACAAATTCAGTAAAATTAATACTTAAATTTCAAAGAAAAATTACATTATAGGTTGAAAGATGCCGCTTGTCATGATAGTATAGCCAGTATCACAAATTCAAAGTACATAAACCAGGTCCACTGCTTTAAGTGAAAAAACAGTCAACTCACTAAGAAAGGCAGGCTACTGAAACAGAGCTGGTTTCTTCTAATTTAGCTATAGTTTACTCTAGTTGATCAAACTTTCATAGTTACAGGAATGGTCACAAAAAACCCACTTTTACTTCTACAATTTTTGCATAGCATAACTTTGGCTGATCCATATAGTGTTCTCAAAACCCAGCCAGAGAAAAGAACAGCTTTGCAGCCCAATATTTTTGATATGTTACATAAAGCAAGATGCTATACACAGATTGGCAGTCAGGTGTAGTAATATAAAAAGAAAATGTGATGTGTAAAAAATTAAAAACCAAACACACATCCACTGGCCCCTCCCACATATACTGTAGGAATGTTTCTGAGGAAAAAGTAAATATTAGCAGCAACGATGACTTAAGTATAATACTTTCCTAGAGCTTAATAGCTGGTTTCATTGTAGAGGAAGCAGTGCGGATCATTATCATTATTATTGTCAAATAAACAAATTATATCCATAATCTTACCTAGTTCTGGGGGCAGCACAGTGAGACGATTTCCCTGGATATGAAGTTCCTTAAGCTGAGTGAGCTCACCAATTTCTTTAGGCAGTGATACCAGGTCATTGTCTCTAAGACTCAGCTAAGAGTGAATATAAAGTAGTCAGAACAATTTTTGGCTACCATAAAGCAGTCTAACACACAACTCTACACCCTCTGCCCCCCATCCTTCCACTAAACTCTCAGTTCTTCCAATTTATTTACAAGTGTCTGCTGGCAAACAAAAAACAGTTCCAGGTGTAGCGGTCTATTCCTGCAAGCATACCCTACTACTCCTCAAATTGACTAGCTTCTATTCCTACAAGTGTTGCGAAAGTGAATTGATTTTCCAAGAATTTAGATAAATTACTTACTATCTGCAACTTTGTGAGCTTCCCAATATCTGGCGGCAGGATTTCAAAATCGTTGTCACTTAGATAGAGTGCACGCAGAGTGGCTGCAAATTAAATAGCAATATATAAACAGCGTGGCATATAACCCAACCATTTGAGGTCTAATCGATAAAGGGAGTCAGGTTTGATTAATAATCCTGACGTGGTGAAAAGCCTTTGACATACCCAGGGCTCACAATAATAACAAGCAGGTCAAACTTAGATTTACTGGCTTATTGTATTGTTGGTGAGTTCAGGAAAATATCTATATTCAAAAGGACCTGCACAATTAACAATTTCTACAACAGTAGACTCTGGTGGGTTCTGGCATATAAACTCAATGCTCAGCTGTCAGAATTCAGTCATTACTCTTCAGTACCCCCAATTCTTATTTATTACATCAATTTGCATCCTAAACAAACATTAAAAAAAAAATCACCCAAGTTTTTGGGACAAATGCACACCTATATTAAGCTCTACAGAAAGCATAGCTTAAAACTAGGAAAGAGACCTTAAAAAAGAGCAATACAGAAAACTCAAATTGTATCATTTGTAATTTCCATGGTTGGTCTCTATGAAATACACAGAAAAAGAGATGACCCAGCACAACCATGTAGCTGTAAGCATCTGTTGAGAAAAAAAAAAATTAAAATTGAGACTCACAATGAACTGCTGGGTGCAGCAGCAGGAGGTCAGGCAGGTCAGCAAAACCTCTCCTCTCCACCAAAGAGGAGATCCCATTTGTCTTAAGCAGTTTACACCTCCTCCTCTCTTCATTTCATTGTATGTAACCACTTTTAATAATGCTGACCTAAAAACTTCCCTCTGCCAGGTTACTATCACAAAATCTCTCAGACAGCAACACTTGCTCCCCTTCCTTTGCCTGTCACACCTGCTGTTGAAATGCACTGATTCTGATGCCACATCATCACAGTACACAGAAAAGATCAGTAAGGTAGCAGAGTCACTGAAATCCAAAAAGTACCAGAACTCACAATGCAACCATGATGAATACCTTCTGCACATATGCACTACAATGCCCTTTATTTTAACATGAGTGTGTGTATTGAACATGCAAAGGTCAGCTTAGTTCTACCATTTCTGTGCCAAGCTTTGTAACCTTAGCATATTTTTTAATACACTGGACACTTCAACATCCACATGCTGTTAAAACTATTTCAGTAATGAACCCTCAGGAACACAGTTATTTCTAGAGTCAACAGTTGCCTTGCAAAGCAGTTTACTTTCTCCTGAGGCTTGCAAGCTTTCATGAAGTTTAAACTGCGTATGGCACCCGAAGGAACATTTCTCAGAATAAAAATGATATACAATTACTAATCAAGTCTTCTCGTGTCCAATGGTGTCAGGTGACTGTATATCAGTGATAAATATTGTTGAGCTATGTAGAAATATTCAAGAGATACTCAAAGAAAAACATAAATATCAGAAAAATTCAGTTGGAGTTTGATCTCCATCAAACACATTTCAACTGCAGAAAGCAAAGCATCATATCATGAAGATTTATCGAGTTTTTAGAAGAGTTTCTTACTCAGGTAGAAGAAATTTCCTGGTAGAGAATTTTCATTTAAGTTGTTATAAGTCAAGTCAAGAACCTCCAGAGCTGGTAAAGAGCCAAATCCCCTTGGCAAGGTGTTCAACCTGTTCATGCTGTAGGTAAAGAGGGAAAAAATAATGTAACATCAGTATTCACTTCAACTAGTAGGAATAATACAGGCAATGAGAGTTTAATTTCAAAAAGTGTAATCTATACTAAGCTTCCCTTTTGTTTTGCAAAGGGGTTGATGCTACAAGATAACTGTGGAAGCCTTTTGTGATGCAGACCTTTTTTTATCTCTCACTACCTTAAGTATGTCCAAAACTAATGCACTTGTAAGGGATCCTGTCTGTTATGTCAACAGCCACACTTGAAACATGAAGCACAAAGGAGAGAGATGCCACACTGCTATACATATAGAATCTTGTTCATAAATTAGCATTTTCTCTGAAAAGCAATTCCAGATTCAAACAGATATTAAGGCATTCTAGAGATCTAAAGTGACCAAATAAAGACTAGAGAAGACAGATTATCATTAAAACATTTATTGGCATTCCAACAGTTCAAAATGCAATTCAGTATCAGCACTTTACAAAAGTATTTGAAGCAGGATACATGGAGCCTAGACAAAATTAATTTGGTGTTTAAAATAGTAAAAAATACTCAAGTTACAGTATTCAGAAGTTTGATTGTATAAAATACAAACATTATTTCTACAAGAAGCCTATAAAGCTAAAGCTTACCCCTACCAGTGCTTTTGTAAGTAAGTTACACTATAATATGCCTAGTTAGTTTTAAAAAGATTCGGTGCTTTACATTTATTTTCTTAATAAATGAAGAAATCCTTCTGCAATTGTAGTTACTACAATGTAGCACCAATCCTACTGGAATATAATATCTGAAAACTTAATAGGAATGCCTCTGGCTCAGATTTAGTCAACATCAGCCCTTTGTATTAAATACAGACCACATGTAAAAAATTCCTTTTACAGTTCTAATACAAATTGAAATGTCTTTAATCCCAAATTTGGAACTTTGGAATTGAAGTCCTAAATTAACATGGCAAATTAGCATTCTTTTTTTTAAAAAAATAAAACACAACAAAATGAATAAACAAAAAAACAAGAACAAAAAGAAAAAAATTACAAAAATCCCACAACAATATAAACAAACAAAACCAAACAGAAAATGGAGTCTGGCTCTTACACAGCAATCACAGAATTAAGAGACAGTTGCTAGGGAAGTAAAATTCAAAAATTGTTAAGTTTTACTTCAGTTTTAGATGAATGTGAGTTGCTGTTTTCCTAAAATGGTTATCAGTGCACCAGAGTAAGTGCTTGATCACTTTTAGTTATACGATTATCTAGGATGCTAGCTAAACACTCTGAAGCCATAATTGCCAAGTCATCCTCACACACACTTTCCAAAATAAACTTTTAACAACAAAAAGAAGTTCCAGGTGCAGCTGTGACAACGTTTGACCATACCTCTATTGCAACAAATTTTTGCATTAAGATACGCACCCAAGATTCAGGTGTTTGAGCTTCTGAAGGCTGCTAATCTGTGTAGGCAGCTCCTCAATCTGGTTGTTGAAGAAGTTGAGCACTTCTATGTTTCTCAGGTCTGCGATGTTTGCTGGCACAGCTGTGGGAAAGTTTCCACAGTGAGAGACTGCAATTGGAGCAAGATACAGAGACTACAGATGCTCTACTAGCACCTGTCCTTTGCTCTGGTTGTACACTGGCTGACAGTAGGGACAGAATCTAATAGCTATTGCAATAAAAGCAGAGTTTGCATCAAAAAAGCCTCCTACCTGGAACCTGTTCTCATTGCCAAGAGCAGTCACTTTGTAATCTTCAGAAAGTTACTACCAGTAATTAAAAATATTTTGACTAACAAAGACCATTGCAAAGAGACACAAGGACAACAAATGCTCTCATAAGCTAAGAAAAAGAAGCAGGCCACTGTGTGAGGTCGCGTAGCACACACACAGGGCTCAGAAGAGCAGAATATAAGACACTCTGACCATTTCTTCATTTGAGTTGAAAAAGTAAATGATACAAGCAGTTACATCAAGACATTAGTTTCATTAAAGGTATTTAACAGCAAAGAAGAAATAAAACCTCATTTTTAGTGATGTTCAGCCCTAAGAGATTAGCTGTCTGGTAAAGCCCATTTTCAGTCACTTTGCATGACTGAATAACTAACTAATCAATACACATAAATGGCCTCATTGTATTACCAACAAATCAGTATCTGGTTAATATCTAGAAACTGAAAAAGTAAGGCAAAAGCACAACATCTATATACCTGTGTAAATGAGCTGAAAAAGCAATTCAGATTTGCATCTATTCCCCTTTAAACTCAGTGAGACTTAAGCAGGCAGCTGAGTTTTACATAAAGAGAGATTGGCAAATCACCTGCACTGAAGCTTGCACCTGTGTTCAATATTCACTGTAGTTTAGTCTCAACCTTGCATCAGTAACCCACAGAGTGCACATCTAAATAATTAGAGGCTTTTATGAGGCCATGATTTTCTTTTATTTGTTGGCATGAGGCAATCTCAGCCTTAAAATGGAGTCAATAATGTTTATAAAGCAGAGCATTATACTATGTCACATTTACTAGATTATAATTCTAATTACATTGTGAACAATAACGGGATCCCTAACAAACACTGATGACACTACATAAATATTACTGTTGAGGACCACATTCATTGCAGGAGACTTTTAGCAGACTTTTTTTTATAAAGTCATTAAAGCACTGAACATCTGAACATTTAAAAGCCTTCCTTTTGCAGTATTTTCAAACTGGTCCATGCTTATCTGTCACTCAATGATGGCAAGAATTATGTGCCTTCAGAAAATAAGGGATAATGTACTACCACTGTTGTTTTAAAATATTCCCTAGCAGAAGTTAACTGCTAATTTTAATTGACATCATTCAGCTGTTTCCAGCCTCAATATATCACCAGAACAGCAATTACCAGTATTAAAATGTTTTCCTTTCAGAAAAGACTTTATAATTTGACTTTGACGAGATGCAATGGACTGGCAAACCACGCTTCTGCTCTTCTCAGATACTATGTTTGTGCAAGCCTAGAAATCAGAAGCACTAGCAAATCAAGATTTTAGTTTAGTCAAAGGCTAAACAATGGAGAGACCAAATACAATTCTCCTGGAGTCACACGGTTGATGTGTAAAATAAAAATTTGGTATGAAAGGTTTGGCCTTTTTGACAGTATAAAAGATTACACTCTCCGGGGGGGGGTGGGGGGAGGGAAGAGAGCAGGGGAGAGAGAGTGAAACTTAACATTAAAAGTCATGCTAAATGTAATGCAGAGCTCTGCTGTGGGAATACTGAAACAAGGGCCTGACATTCAGGAGGCCAAACTTAACAAACCTACCATCATCTTGACTGCCTATGTGTCAATTCTGTATTTCAATTATTCAGGTTGAACACCATCACAAGACAACAATGAAATTAAGAAGTGGTTATCAAAGACACTGAAATTTCTCAAAGCCAACTAAAAAAGTACATATTACACCAAGGACAATACAATCACTGCAAAGATAGGAAGCCCATGAAACTTCCTTGATCTTGTTCAGAGGCTGGACCACAGAAGCTGTCAAACTACAGAGACCATTTCTTAGTGCTCCCCTCACAGGAGGGCAGCCAGCAATACCTAATGTGCATTTCAGCTGAACCAGTGATGGCTAACAGGTACCTTACATTCAGTCCTATTCACAGTGGAATTTTTAAGCTTGTATCTCACTTCTGACTTAAGCTTGGAGACTCTGGAGAGAGGAAGAATCATATCAAGGAAGAAGGTTGAAAAGCCATCTTAATTAGGAAAAAAACAACCAAACACAGAATAATTTAAAAAATCCATTAAACTACTCAGGAAAAGGAAACACCCAGGAAAAAAAGGAAGAAAAATTGCTTCCAGAGATTTGTTCATGAAGATTGCACTCGCACTGAAGATCACAGCATCAAGAGATTCCCTAGTTTCAATGAATTCTTATGCAGTTGAGGAGTCTCAAATTCTACCTGCTCATCCTACGTGCAAACATAGGGCAAAAACTCAACTTCCATTGGCTGGTGTCACCGTTTGACTCAGGTCTGACAACAATGCTCTCGATCCCCTCCCCCCCCACCCAGGTAGGGAAGGAGAGAGAGAAAAGGAGAGAGACTTGGCTGGATTGAAAACTAAACTACACAGCTTTAATTAAAACACTAATGAATGATACAAGAAAATATATACAATTATATACAGATATATTCAGGTATGGGCAAAAACCTCTCGCCTCCCCCCACCCCAGCAACTCACACAGCACTTCCCTGAACTGGGAAGAGTCCCGAGGAATCCCGGAGCTGCTACTGGAGAAAGAGCAGAGAGTTATGGGGGTCAGGAGAGCTCGAGCTTAAGGGTCGACGGTGATGGATGAACAGAGTCCTCCCCGGACACCGGCCATGGACGGAAGAGAGGGGAGAAGAAAAAAAGGAAGTTGTCTTCTGTGATCTCTGACCTTCCTCTGAGCTTACGTAGATATATGGAATGGAATATCTTTGGCCAATTTTGCTGTCCATCTAACTCAGCCTCCTACGGGGGGGTCACAGATCTCCCCATAGTGTCTGAGCCGGCAGAGTGCAGGTGCGGCCTTGAAGCCTCAGTAGTTAGAAAAACATTCCACTGTCTTATCAGCCTAGCAAAACACACTGTTGCTAGTTACAAGAAAGCTTACTGAAGGAAAAAAAAAAAATCAGTAAAAAGAAAAATTGGCTTCATCCTGGCTCAAACCAGGACAGCTGGTTTATCAGAGATTTTAAATCTCATTTTCATTTGCCAGGGCACAAGTGTGAGTAAAGTGTCCCTAGTGAACAATAGGAGCTGTGTCCTTGCACACTGTCTGCTAAGTTTCTGACATATCTGTATAATTCCCACATACTGCATTTTGTGTTGCGAATCACACTTAGGTTACTTTACATCATTACTTTCTTCAAGCCATACTAAAAGCTGCAAGGGTAAGCAGGTTGAAGTGAGAAAAAGGCTAAAAATTTAGCAAAAGATTTTAATAACATACTGTTTGTCTCACCCTACTAAATCAAAATAAAAAGCTCCAATCCACAACTGAATATTTTTGTTTGGATGGATAGGCTGGAGGTATTTCATGAGAAGGAAAAACAGAACACTAGGTCAAGACCAGACTTGTTGTAGGGGAGAAAGGACTTTTTATTGTAACAGCTCATTTTCTGGTTCAACAATTTCATTTGTAATAGGGATGAACGCTCTCTTGAATTCAAAGAAAATCAGAACACCGAAATTAGCTCCTGTACTGCTCTTGTAACTAAACCACACAGGTTCAGTGCCTTCAGGTCTAAAGATCAGCAGTGGTCAAGCAAGGCTGATTAAGCACATGCTTTTCTCTCTCCTCAACTTCACATGACTAAGTGCACCCTGACTACTATCCCACTGCTAATTCACAAAATTCTTCCCAGATAGATAGCACACTGCCAAATACCAAGAAATGCATGTTCTGGCAATACCAAATTCCACGCGAGTCACCTTCTCATGATGAGCTGTAAAGAGTGAACTGTCAGCATCCTGGTTCCACTCACCCACATATTTACAGTACGATCCACAGCGTCTTAACAACTCTTCTAAGACCATCTGCTGCCCAGTGTCATTAACAACTAAACTCCCCCTCAGCAAATGCTAGTAAAATTCAGCAGCCCAAAGCCTTTGCATTCCCCTGTGATGTTTCAGTCACATCATGAAGCCCCATTCATATTAAATCTCATTTCACAAGACCAGGAACAGCTTCCTTTTCCTTGTTCAATACTGGAAAACGCACACAGTGTTTCCACTATGACAGCTAGAGACTTCAGCTTGATCTCAAGAGCTGGGTTGAGAGTGAGAGGGTCTACAAGGCTGCACACTAAAGAATATGAGGACTTTGATCGTGCTCCTGGAAATAAGGATTGGCAATTTGTTATACTTCAAAGCATTTAAAAGCAATATAGGGATTTTTGCCCTAAAGTTAGTAGCAGTAACTTTTTAGGCACTAAAATATATTCTCATCAGAGCAGACTTCCACTTAAGGCAAGTTATTACATTTTATTCCTACATAAGCAGTGGTTGTTCCAAAGTTTTGGTATGATTTCCCAAACACATGTAAGAAGGATTAAATGCTACTGTTCAATGCCTATATAACTCCACACCCAAGTATCCTGGATCTGGACCTTGGTTCTCTCTCCAGATCAAGAGCCAGAAGCCAACACCAGACATCTATCTTTACTAGAGGTCTGATGCTGCCCTCTGTTGGAAAACAGATAATGGTCTGAAGGGACCCTTTACTGGCACCAGCTATCAGGCAGCACAAAGTGCTAGGAACATTTAAACCACTTCAAGCAGCTAGGAGTTAAGTGTCTCAGATGAAACCCTTTCTCATAAAGCAGGAAGTCAAGTGGTTCTCAGACCACTACCTAAAACTGACATCTGGATCCAGCTCCTTTTCCACATCCAACCTCTGACAAAGGAGGAAGAACACAGAAAATGGAAGAGAAGGATGTGCATTTTTTCCCATCCAGTTCCACTTTGCAGTGACAAGACCTTTCATTCAGTTGAAAACACACAGGCT